AATATCCCTTACACGTCTAGTAGTCCAAAATTCCATTAGTTCTCTCTTTTTCTTTCTTACCAAAGTAAACCGCCAACTATAGATAGCCTACTGATGAATAAAAAGAATTAGACATAAAATGATACATCAAAATCATGTTATAGCATAGGGATCTTCACGCTCAATTTAAGAAAAAAAATTAATGAAATATTATAAGCAACCCATAAAATGTTCAACCGAGATTTTACCTGATATTATAAATTGTAAGACTCGTGAAATCAAAATCGAACCAACCAAAAACTGAACTGGCTGTCAATGAAAACTTGACGGAGTCCTACATTTATATAATTTTCACGCATTAGTTACTTCTCCAACAACTATGCCTAAAATATGCGCACCAACCTTCTATCAAGTCCATGGAGCATGGCATAGCCTGCATGTTTTAAATATCTCATTCTATTCTATTCTTTCCTTTTTTTTTTTTGCCGTTTTTGTTAGTGCTAAGTAGTGCCTCCCTAAAACCTAAAAAAAAGTTCCGTCCATGGAGGGAGCCGACCGCCATCCAACATCCCAACAAAGCTGTTCCTTCATTATTTTAGCAAAAGTTACTGCAGCTCGAGCCAGCTTTGTCGTCGTGAAAGAAGTAATGAAAGGGATGCCCCATTCAAACTACCGCAGAAAGGTTAACCTCACCTCGGGTAATCACCACCTCGTCCTTGTAGCTTATGGGCAAATCCCATTCCCCCAGCGGGGATGAACGAGTATGCGGATAAATTCAAGTTGAGGATTTTTGGAAGAAAACGCAAGGCGCGCAATGGCTTTCTCTGCATTGGGCTCCGTTTTACATTTGTATCAGAATATTGATATAGGTTCCTAACGGGATATATAGGCTACTGACAAATAATCATACTTCTTAGATTTAGAACAACTTGAAATATTGGAAAAACAGCAACCAAAGTTTTCAAACAGTAATCCCCTTAATAACCATTTCGTGTTATGTTTTTTAAAATTAATCTTGGAAATATTTCTTCCCGTATGTATCGTTATATAGTTTTTATAAACATTTTCTAAATGTAGACAAAAGAAAGAAAAAAGTGTTCAATGTCGGATAAGAAAATATATTTTCTGGAGAAAACATAATTATTAAAAACAGAAAACTAAAAACAAAATGGCCATCCAACAGCATCTAAAAAAATAATTTTAAATATGGTTGAACAAGTTAGAATGGCCATCCAACAGCATCTAAAAAAATAATTTTAAATATGGTTGAACAAGTTAGAAGTTCCCAGCCTAAAGAATCACAACCTTAATTAGGATTATCAAAGTTAATGGAGGATTTGGATGACATGCTCTAGACTTGTATAAAATTTACTGTAATTAGGAAAAACGCTTAGTTTACCGTATAAATCTGAGAAGTGAAAACCGTATAAATCTTCCCGGTCGGCTCCACTGAGTCCTGCAATAATGCAATAATATATATTACCAAAGCCATATAGAAAAACAGAGACAAGAAAGAGTTACAAACAAAACATGTACTTTCTCCAGAAAAAAAAGAAAACAAGAAGGAAATGTAAAAATTTCCATTTATAAAATGGAATTTTACAAAATTAACAGATCATTGAAGTCAATCATAGATTATGATATCCTATCATTTTTCTCTTTTCCTAAATTACTAACTTAAAATATGAAAATATGAGGTTATAGATTTTCAGAAGTAACATCCCGTCCATATTACCAAGAAGAATACCTAATGAGAGGCTAACATCAGAATTTAATATTATAAAAATAAAATAAAATAAAATAACAGAGAAAATGTCATTACCCATCGGCAAGTCCACATATACATTCAAACGGAAAGGAGAGTATAATAATGTATAACCATCTCATCTTCCAAGCTACTCAAGACTCACCAACACCATGAAAGCACAAAATGGAAAAACTGTGAACATCCCAATTATAGTAGACATGATCGTCAGAAGTCAAAAGTTGATATACTTGACAAAATCACTAGTAGCACCCTGTACAGTGTAACAATCGAAGGAAACACAACGCTGGATTGAGAAGAAGAATTAAAAAACTACTATAATTAAAAAAGAAATCGATAACTAAACTAGCAGTCTCTAAGATTAGGCGAGAACCTGAACCACTACAATCGTCGATTGTAGTTTGGGCATAAGCTCCTCCTAAAAGTAATATAATTTCTTCCACGTTTGCTCTTTTTTCAGACTTAATCTAGGCAAGTTTCCACATTAATTATCACTCATTTCATATTCTTCCACGTTAAAAATAAAAACAGATGTTTTATGAAAGGTCAAGAGTAGTATTGAAACTTTTCAAATGACCCGCCTGACCCTACTACATTTGGTTGACAAGGTAACTCGTAGGATATTAAATCCTAGGTAAGTAGCCACCATGGTTTGAACTCATTCCCTCTAAGTCCTTTACTATTTACAAAGGACCTCATTGACCACTTGAGCCATCCCATGATGGTTCAAACGAAAAAATAAATTTAGGAACAGTTTTTGTAGTTTACCCTTTAATTTTGTATAGATACCCTTAACACCCACCTTAACTTATGAGTTTGAAAATTTGTCAAAAGTCCAATGAGGGATAATTAATATCAAATATATAAGTGGCTCTAAAATATATAAATATATATACATACATACATACAGGAGTTCGAAAACCACTCTGGGCATAAGCTCTCATGGTTTGACTTTTCGTATCACCCAAAATTCCTCAAAAATCAATAGAGATGTTGTCCCTCACTTGTATACCCATAACCTTCCCCTTATCTAGCTAATGTGACACACATCTCTAGTTGGAATGATATTGTCCACTTTGGGCATAAACCCTCATGGTTTGACTTTTGGTATCACCCAAAATGCCTCAACAATCAATAGAGATGTTGTCCTTAACTAGTATACGCGTAACCTTCCCCTTATCTATCTAATGTGAGTGACACATCTCTAGCTATTATGATATTTTCCACTTTGGGCATAAGCCTTCATGTGGTTTGATTTTTGGTATCATCCAAAATGCCTAAAAAATCAATAAAGATGTTGTCACTCACCTGTATACCTATAACTTTTCCCTTATCTAGCTAATGTGACACAAATCTCTAGTTGGAACGATATTTCCACTTTGGGCATAAGCCCTCGTGGTTTGACATTTGGTATCACCCAAAAAGCCTCAAATCAATTGAGATGATGTCCCATACTTGTATACCTAAATTAGGAACAAACCTCTTATACCACTTATTTAGGACGAGAAACCACCCTCCACATCTCTAATTGGTATGATATTGTCCCCTTTAGGCATAATCCCTCATGGTTTGACTTTTGGTATCACCCAAAATGCCTCAAATCAATAGAGATGTTGTCCCTCACTTGTATACCAATAACCTTCCCTATAGGCTCGCCACTATGTTCAACACCTGAGGATTCTACTCACATAGCTAAGTTCGGAACAAAGTTATGGTACCCACTTGTTAAGGACAAGGAACCACCCTCCACATCTCTAATTTGTATGATATGTCCACTTTGGGCATAAGCCCTCATGGTCTGACTTTTGGTATCACCCAGAAAACCTCATATCAATTGAGATGTTGTCCCTCACTAGTATACCCATAAGCTTCCTCTTATCTAGCTAATGTGAGACAC